TTTTTTTTTCTTAGAACAATCCGCCCCTGAAGTCCCGGAGTTTCTCTGTGGCCTCCCAGGGCAGTGGTAAGTCCCCGCTGATGCAGCGGAGGCCCAGTCAGAACGCTGCCTCGTTCTTCGGCATCTCGCAGCTGCACAAGGGCTCGGCGACATCGGCCAGCAAGAGGTCCCTGCAGCCGGACCACCTGGTGGACGTCAGGGAGGTGCGACTTCTGGCCCTCGAGATTTCTGCTTGTGTTTCGCTCCATTGACCCAGACGCTCAAAGCAAATGTGGCTGGAAGGTTGCCGGTTCAAATCCCGCGGCCGGCAGAGGAATCCTACTCCGTTGGGCCCCTGAGCAAGGCCCCTAACCCCAGCTGCTCCAGGGGCGCCATATAAATGGCTGACCCTGCGCTCTGACCCCCAGCTTCTCTCTCCTCATCTGTGTATCTCATGGAGAGCAAGTTGGGGTATGCAAAAAAGACAACTTCCTAATGCAAGAAGTGGTATATGGCTAATAAAGTGATCTTATCTTATTACACACACGTACTGTGTATATATATATACTGACCATAACTCAGGTCACTGACAGAATTCATATGGCACATGGTCATCTTGAAGAGGAAGTATGTACAAACTACAGTTCCTTCCCCGAAAGTTATTTTGTAAATCTGGTCCAGATTTTCAGTATCTTGCCCTGAGTTTGTATGCATATCCAGGTCACTGAACTGTTGTGTAATCAATCTTTCATTGACTAGACCAGACAAAGTGGTTAGGACCTGAAGCTCCTCTTGTTTCATTTGTACAGAAACTCATTCCATCTGCAAAATGTCACTATTTTTTTAGTGTCTTTTGCATGTCATACTATGGTATGAAATTATATATAATTATATGAAAAATATTCATTTCTGGACAAATGTTTTTATATGCTTCACAAAACAGCTGTACAAATATATTTAATTCATTTGAGATTTAGTTTTTAAATATGATTTCAGGCCTATGGAATAAAGATTTTTTTAAAATACAGACAAAAACAGCCCCTGCTTCGGCAAAAACGGATCCGTCTTTGCCGAAACTAGGCAGGTGTTAACATGATGTAACATCTGTAACATTTTTTTTAACTAAACCATAAAACAAACAAAGCAATTTAAATTAATTTACGTTAGTTTGGCCATGAATTCTTTAAAAAATCTTGATGGGAGTGGCATGATGTATATTAACTGTTTTAGGCTAAAGACTGTTTTTCTCTTGAAGTGAGTGAAAAACAGAGAGGCAGACGTTCTCTGGATTTGAGACTGCAGGCTAGCCTTGTACGGTCCTTTCTCTCCTGTCTGTCTGCAGATGATGACCCAGGCACAAGGGAAGCACAGAGACCTGATCCAGACCATCGAGGGTCTGCCATCTGCTACAGGCCTCTCTCCTCTTGACCAGGACCTCCTCATGCTCAAAGCCACTTCCATGGCAACCATGAACTGCCTCAACGACTGCTTCCACATCCTACAGCTCCAGCAGGTGGCTCAGCAGAAGGGCCCTCTTTCGGGTGAGTCCTCAAAACCGCCTCCTGAAGAACTAGGTCTTCCATACTCAGGTGGAACATGGCAACTTGTTTTCAGCGCAGCCTATTTTGGGAGTAAATCAGCTCTGAAAATTCTCCCTTGTTTTTTAGACTGAGGGGTTCGAGTGCAAAGGTGGTGCTTGAGCTATTTGGACATTACATCTGTCCACGAGCTATTCTTTGAACTTAAGGGTAAGGTGACATAAAGCTGTTGCATAAGGAGGCTTTTAATTCTGTAGATCCACAAGATTGTGGGGTTTCACATCCCTGAAGCTCTCCACAGCTGTTGTGAAGTAGAGAGTGGAATATTTTTTTATAATTAATGAGGAATCTTATCTACCTTGATAGGCTAGCTTGAGTAACCAGAGACACTGGAAGTCATTAACAGAACAGGCTGACAGCTTTCCAAATGGTGCTCCGACCTCTCTGCTGGTAACGGCAAAGGTTATTATTAATTCAGCAGCTGTGCATTGTGGCTTTTGTGCTGAAATTAATAACAGTGGCCCTCAGGCCGGGTCTTTATGACTATAAAGAACTGTTTGCTGCTTATATTAACTACGTATGACTGTCTCGGCTTGGAACATATTTAAGTCACGTGGCCAGATGCTCCTTATTTAAATTCCTGAGAAAAGTTATCTTGCAGCTGTCATTTCTTTCTTTGCCACCTCTTACTACAGAGTCCTGTAAAAATTTCCCTGCCGCTACCGCAGTTGTTTTGAGCAGGCTGCGCCCCAAAACCCGAGAGCTGAAAGAGTTAACGAAAAGAAACACCCGATGAGCTGCTGCTTCATCACGTCGGTCTGTTCTAGAGTTAGGTGCCTTTCAGGATCTAGTTACAGGTGTTCGTGGTTCATGTAACCCAGTGTGCATGAAGGAAGGTGTTTCGCTCTGTGACCAATCAGGTGTGGCAGTAGTTACTGTTGGGCAGGAATTGCCCTCATTTTTTTTTCTGCTTTTCCTCCTCCTCCTCCTCCTCCTCTTGGGTCAGGCAGCTACATGTCTTTTTGTGAGCTGCCCTCGTCTCTCGCATGTTTTTTTTTTTCTACCGGCCTTGGCCTCCAAGGGCTCGGGGAGCATGAGCACGTCTGAGCTGAATGCGCCGTTCGTTTCAGGAGCTACCATCGAGTGGCTGGAGCCCAAGCTGCCGGAGCACCTGAAGAATGGAGACGTGCTGCAGGGCTTCTCTGCGGAGAACAAGCCTGCGAGTAGCGGGGAGCAGTTGAGCACGGAGCCCTGCAGCTTGGCTGGGGTAGGGCTTGCGGCTCCAATGTGTTTTTGTTACTCGGAGCAAGAGGTGGTTTCTGTGCTGAGAAGTACTGGTTCAAGATAAACCTGTTCCTTTGGCAGGATAAGTCCTGTAATGGAGTATTGTTGGCATTTTAGGGGAAAACGCCCTTTTAGGGTATGAAAATCCCTCTTTTGAAGGATTAAGGTGGTGTTTGAATTCTAGCCCGTTGGGGTTTTAAAGCAGGTAAGAGTCTACTAAGGGGTTCCTATGTTTGGGCTGTTAGTCCAAACTAAAGTTGGATTGTGGGATTATTCACCAATTTGTAATTATTTTTGAAGTTTTAACTTTTTTGAAATTATTGCTGCGGTATTGCAGAAAATGCAGCATGGTAACTGAGCAGAGTTACCAAGTTTTGCAGAGCCATCAGTTTAGTAGAATAAAAATGAAACAGCTGTATCGTTGGAAACCAGTTTATTGCCCTTAAAAAATAAATGAGTGGCTTTGTGTTAGCAGTAATTGATCTTACCTGCTTGAGGTATTCCACCACCTTCTCCTTGAAAATAGTCTTCATTGCTACTGCTGAAACGTGAGCCGTTCTTAACAAGTTCAAATATTCTAACATGAATTTTCTAGGTATTCTGTCACAGCAGCCAGGTATCTTAGAATCACAAGCGTGATGCTGGTTGTCGATTATTGGATGATTTAAAATTCATATATCTTTACTGCTTAATTTAGGATTCTTGTTTGAAATGACATGTATTTTCTATGCATGTCAACAATATTCTTTTAGAACATATTGCCTGAAAGAAAAACAATTTATACACTCTTGTTTGTTTTTTTAGATGTAAGAGTAAAAGTAGATACCAGTTGGTTTTTATGACGAAAGGCACCCTGTGTTGTGAAAAATGAATCGGTGTTTAGGGTGTGAATTGTTATAAATTAAAAAATGAAAAAAATCCTCAGATGAAAGATGTTTGAAGGAGCACACTGAAAACCTCATGAAGGTTAATCTTGATATGTATACAAGATTCGTTTTTATGTTAAGGAGGACCATGTCTACAGATCAGTTAGATCAGATAAATCAGTTGTGAGCTTCTGGGACTTTTTTCCAGTTTCTGGTAGAATGAAACTATTTCTGTGTAGTTTAGCTTCATGTCGGCTGGGTGTAAGGAGTGAAAGGAGGCCTCTATCCTCGTCAAATCAACTTGATTCTCCCAGCATCAGCTGCACGTAATGCAAATGTGATGAGTTCTATAATTCCATCAGGTGATCTCTGGAAAGGATAACTACAGTATGGACGACTTTATATCAGGGAGGTAGACTTGAAAGGGTCCCATTGTGGGAACTGGCTCATGCCAGTTGGCACACATCCTTGAACTGTCAGGAAAGGGGCAAAACACTGTCTTCTAGGCCAGAGAGAATGTGTGAGAAAGGGGCAAAGTCATGTTGGTTGGACACATGCAATCAAATAGGCAAAGCACAGTTTAGCAATTGGTGGCTGCCAAATCCCAGTATATTATTAGGTAGGGGTTTCCATTAATTTGGCAAGTCTTTGCCGGTCTTTTTTTTCAGTAGTATTCGGTTGAGTTGCATTTCCCTTGTCAAAGAGGAAAGGACGGTCTAGGCTGAGAAAGCCCTGTGCTCTTGTCAGGAACAAGAGGATGTGGACTGGGAGGACGAGGTGGAAGACGCCTTTGCTGACCAGGAGGACGACCTGGGGGCAGTGGAGGAGCAGCGCAGCGTGATCCTGCACCTCCTCTCGCAGCTCAAGCTCGGCATGGACCTCACCCGGGTGCGGCACTGGCTCGAGTTCAGCCTCCTAACTCTTCGTTTTAAAACTGCACGCAGGAAATCGCTTGTACACAGTCAGACTTTGCTTCCACTTTTGGCACGTGTGAAATCTGGAATCGGGTAAAAGGGCCATGAGCGTTGATCAAGCTGGAGAAAGACGAAACATTTAACCTTTCCTAGAAACGTTTAAGTAAGCTCATGTTGGAATTCCGTTCAGTGTTGGGTCTATATATCTCTCCAGATTCCAGACTGAAAGTGTTCATCTGATTTTTTTTTTTTTTTTAGTTGAAACAAAGCATACGTTTGGCTTGCATGATGAAATGATGACTTGCACAAGGCCAGATGCCTTTGTGGAACGGATGGCATGCTTGTCTAGTATAGAGGCCTCCCTCAGGGCCATGAGTGTGGCTCCTGCGCTGTCTTGCCCGTTTTGAGTTTTCCTTCTTCTTCGAGGTGATGTGTGTCTATCTGTCTTATGGTGACCTCCCAGGTGGTGCTGCCAACCTTCATCCTGGAGAAGCGCTCCTTGCTGGAGATGTACGCCGACTTCATGTCCCACCCTGACCTCTTCCTCGCCATCTCTGACGGCAGGAGCCCCGAGGAGCGCATGGTCCGCTTCGTGGAGTATTACCTCACCTCCTTCCACGAAGGACGCAAGGGGGCCATCGCCAAGAAGCCCTACAACCCCATCATTGGGGAGACTTTCCACTGCTCCTGGAGAGTGCCCAAGGACAAGAGGGACAACATCTCGTCCTCCCAGGGCAGCCTCAACAAGGCCGGGCTGGAGGGAGGCCAGGAGGCCTCAGACTGCTACCTCATCCGCTTCGTGGCGGAGCAGGTGTCCCATCACCCTCCTGTGTCCGGCTTTTATGCGGAGTGCCAGGAGAAGAAAATGTGCGTGAACACTCATGTGTGGACGAAAAGCAAGTTCATGGGGATGTCCATTGGCGTGTCCATGATTGGGGAAGGTAGGGCTCCTCCATCCTTGATTGCATTGGCTTGGAGGTCGTAGCACAAATATTTTGATATTGATTTGGGTTTTTTTAATTGCTGTTGCGTTTCACCATCTTCTTAGATTTTTCCAGATTCCTCCTCTCAGTTGTGCTTTAGTGTGGCATCGCTGGTACAGTTTTCACCAGCTCCTTCATCCTGAGCCCTGCTGCATAGTGCCATGCAAGGCACCACATTTGTTGGCTTAAGTAATAATTAGATGTTAGCTGTTTCCCTAATTAGGAGATAGCAAAGTGAGTGTGGTACTCTTTAAATCAAGTGCAAAGCAAAGTTACTTGTCCAAGAAGACATGATGCACAGCAGGTTTTAAATTGGCTCCCCTGTGCATTCTTGCTCAGCACGAACTGTAAATGCCACAGCTTCTTTCTTTAGACCTGTATCAACATGAAGACTTTCACACTTTGTCTTGGGTTCCCTGCCAAATTGATGTTGAAAGTTTTTTTTTTTTAAATTACAGATCTTCAAAAGATCTGGGTTTTGAAGAACAGTGTACTTCAGGGTGTGTTTCCTACATTAAATACCATGAAAGAGATGAATAACCTAGCATATATTAAAAAAAAAAGGCGGTGCATAACCGTTTCCTTGCTGTTAAAAAAGATTTAGGAGGTGGGATGTTGGTGCCTGCAACTCTTTAATTAACGACCATTTTAGATTTTGCTGGAATCATGAAGACTTTGCTTGCTCTGCATTTTTAACACCTAGTTGTACAGTACTTCATTGTAAACAATGTGCTACGTTAACAGATTTTTTAAAAGAAGCCTTTTCAAGCTTGGGTTTCCAACTCCAGGCATTAGGGTCCAGAATCTAGCAAGTTTTCTGCCCTTTTGAATTGTCAGCATCATAAGGCTGTTGGGAAAAGGGATAAGTTGGACAAATTAAATTTTATTTCGATACGTTTAGAAAAGGAAATATTTACGTTTCTTTCAAGAGTAGAGCTGGTTATAAACGAAAAAGACATGGAAATCCTGAAGGACTCCGGACCTGAGGAACTGAAGCTGGGGCTTCAATCACACATCCTGTAGCTGAACTAGATGAAATGTGCACAACATAGTATTTCCTGCAGTTTGTTCACTAGAAACAATTGCTAAACTGGATGTTGTATATTTTATTTACCCATCGTTTACCCATTGTCAATAGTGGTATGTTTGCTCAAAAGATTTTTTCTGATATAGCCCTGAGACACTTTAATCTTATTTTATAAGCTACAGAGACAGTTTCAAAGGTGGGGGACATTATGGGAACATTATTTTAGCTAATCTATCAGTCCATTAGCAGTCTGCACAAAAGAACACTGGCCATTTTCTTGTTTTACTTCTCTGCAAAAGCAATGACATCTCTTTTTTAAAAAAAGCATCTGTGGGTAGTTTCTGCTTGAGTTTAGCGCTTGTGCTTTTGGTTGTCTGCATATAATAATAATTGCTTACACTTATATAGCGCTTTTCTGGACACTCCGCTCAAAGCACTTTACAGGTAATGGGAATCCCCTCCACCACCACCAATGTGCAGCCCCACCTGGATGATGCGACGGCAGCAATAGTGCGCCAGAACACTCACCACACATCAGCTATCAGTGGGGAGGAGAACAGAGTAATGAAGCCAATTCATAGATGGGGATTATTAGGAGGCCATGATTGGTAAGGGCCAATGGGAAATTTGGCCAGGACACCAGGGGTTACACCCCTACTCTTTTCAAGAAACGCCCTGGGATTTTTAATGACCACAGAGGGTCAGGACCTCAGTTTTACGTCTCATCCGAAGGACGGCGCCTGTTTACAGTGTAGTGTCCCCGTCACTATACTGTGGCATTAGGACCCACATGGACCGCAGGGTGAGCGCCCCCTGCTGGCCCCACTAACACCTCTTCCAGCAGCAACCTTAGTGTTTCCCAGGAGGTCTCCCATCCAGGTACTGGCCAGGCTCACACCTGCTGAGCTCCAGTGGGGCTGCCAGCTGTGAGTTGCAGGGTGATATGGCTGCTGGCCACATATGTGGAAGATCTCCTATGGGAAGTTTGGCAGAACCATGCAGAGGATCTCCTTCTGTTTGTAAACCAATAGCCTTTGGATCTGCTGATTGTAGGCATGCGCAGGGCTGTTTCCTTACAAACAGGCAGCTGGGGGGACAGGAAGTTGTCTCTGATAGCACCAGCGTCGAGGACGGGTGAAGCCCCTGTAATGCAGCTTGCCCCCCGCTCTCTTGTTTGAGGCGTGCTGAGCCTGCTGGAGCATGGGGAGGAGTACGCCTTCACGCTGCCCTGCGCCTACGCCCGCTCCATCCTCACGGTGCCCTGGGTCGAGCTGGGAGGCAAGGTCAACGTCGGCTGCGCCAAGACGGGCTACTCCGCAGCCATCACCTTCCAGACCAAGCCCTTCTACGGCGGGAAGCTACACAAGTAAGGGCGGCTGTGCAGCGTGTGGTGCGCGCCTGTCCCTGGAGGGGGCTGCGCGCCGGTTCGCGCCGAAGAAGAAAGCCGGACGGATGGGCTGTTTTTCCTGAGTCGTGGGTCGCTTGTATTCCTGGAAATGTCGTCTGTACGGATCTCATTCCGGAAGGGAGGGGGAGGGACGAGAAGTCACTTGTGGTCGCAACTGCAGTTTTTACGAACAGGGAGGAATAGAACGGGCACCCCAAAATCCTGGATGTGGGTCCAGAGAAGAAGCAGCGGATAGCGTAGAGTCACCTGCATGCGCGTGCTCTGTACTCCAAAAATAGCGCTTTATTTAGTGATTGTCAGTGTTTCGGGAATAGGGCCCTCCTCAGAACAAATGATGTCCTGGTGAAGGCGATTTCGCCCAGACATGAACAATTCATCCACCCATCCTTTTTCTAACCATTGTATCCAAAACAGGGTCGCAGGGGAGCCAAAACCTATCCTGACAACCAACGGGCACGAGGCAGGATACGCACTGCACAGTGCCAGTCCATTGTAGACATTGACAATTGTTCAATAAAATGTTGGGAGTATAGTGTGTACATTCAGCTGACTTAAGTTTTACTTTTCTCGCTAGAAAACCATATTAAACTCCCTGTTCTTGTAATATTGCACCATCAGCACTGGGGGAACAAGTATCAGGAAACCCAGGGTTCAAACGGAAGTTTCATGCTTTCGCCTCTTAATGAGTTTGATTTACCTTTTTTTTTGTAGCCCGTTTTTTTTTTTTTTTTGGTGCGCCCAGCCAGCTGAATGTTTGTGCCGTCTTCTCTCTCTCACGTCCCTCAGAGTGACGGCTGAAGTAAAGCACAACCCAACCAACGCAGTGGTGTGCAAAGTGCAGGGCGAGTGGAACGGAGTCTTGGAGTTCACGTACACCAGCACCGCAGAAACCAGGGTGGTGGACATCCCCCACCTGCCCATCACAAAGAAGAGGGTGAGGCCTTTGGACCAGCAAGGGCCATACGAGTCCAGGTGAGAAGAGCCTCAAGCTCCTAATCTCCACCAAAGCTTGGCAGATACTGACGTGATATTATGTGGGATGGGTGGTCCTTTCAAAACAGGCACCGCATGAAGAAGGGAAGAAAACCTAAATTATGAGCTGCTGTACCATCGGAATGTAAAATGCATGTAAACAGGATAGATGCCCACCTCGATCTCTCCAAACCAGTGGGATGAACTCCCATTACATTTGTTCATGCAAAATGATTCTATAATAATTGGTGCAACTGAAAACTCCATAAACTTGTTGTTTTTTTGTAAATAATTGCTAATTTAACTATGACAAGTGTTAACTTTGAATGCATTTTAGATTTATTTCACCTGTAGCTTTGTTGTAGGTTTACTGAATTTATGCAGAGTAAGGAAAAGACAATGTCTGTTCTAAATTTATTTTATATAACAGTTTTAAGACCCAAGTTAAACATATCAATAATATCACCCCAGTAGTACTATCCTTCCTGACACAGGCTTCGCCCAGCGTGTGTTGTCCCTCGCACAGCAGTGCTAAAACACAAGTGTCCAAAGAAACATTAAGACATCTGATTCCACTACTATAGCCAACCATGTAGATACTGTGCTGCAGACAGCAGGTTGTGTCAGGGCTCTGAACATCATTTGCTTCTGAGGCGTGGTGCGTTGCTGTCCTTGAGCTGTTCATGTATTTAATGTTCAACTTGCATATTTTATAAACGTGGATTGCAGGAATTTCCAATAGTTCTGGGCCACAGGCTTTCAAGATGTGAGCTCGGCGCTGGTGTTTTTTGAAGCTGAACTCTGACCCTTTGTTGCAGACGGCTGTGGCAGCACGTTACCGAGTCACTGCGGGAGAAAGATATCGACACGGCGACGGAACACAAGCGCTTTTTAGAGGAGAGGCAGAGGACGGAGGAGAGACATCGCTCTGAAACAGAAACACCGTGGCGAACCAAATATTTCCACAGAGAGGTAATACACACAGACCCGGATTCCCTTTTTCAAGTCATGCACATCATTTCTGAGTTGGTACCTTGCTTAAAAATCAATAGCCACCTCTTTTCAGTTTGTATCTTTCATGACCAGGATTTGTAATACAGTATTTAATGGATCTTAGCATGATTCCAGCTTGAGGTATAAGTTATCATCATTCTTGGTAATTACCTGTGAAAGTGTCATTTTATGTGTGTTAAGTATTTTTTTTTAATTTCCTGATCCTTCTTAGTGCTTTTATGCAGAGAAAGTCGTGTAAGTTATATATTGAGATGTAAGCATTTCTAGCTCTTAATTTATGCCTCAGAATTTCTGGCACTGTAAGAACCAGATTCAGACGGGCCAGTGAAAGTAGTGCACATGTTGAAGGGTCCAACTTGTCTCTCTTTTCAGGGTGAAGGCTGGGTATATCACAAGCCATTGTGGAAAACAACAGTCGCAAACCCCTGAAGTGTGAGATTCCCATGCCTGTACGGAGTTTTAATTCAGCCATGCGATGTGGTTTATTTTAATGTCATGGGAAAAAAAAAACAATTTACAACTTGCGTTTCATTTGCAGAAGAAGCCACTGGTGTACATCCACAATGTACAAAACATGGAAACAGGGCACTTTAACTTGCAAGTACAACACAACATGGTGCATATTTTGTAATGTTCAATGAATACTTTTGTAAAGTGAAATACTAAACGTCTTCAAATCAATCTGTATTCTTGTACAGCATGTACATATAAGAGGTACTTTACTGATGCTGCCTTAAAAGAGATGGATTTTGGCAGTAGAGAATAATGCTGAAGTCTTGGTGAAGTCTGTTGAACTCAACTTGAAAGATTCGTGTTTTATCTTATCAGGGAGTTTGAGCACACAATGCCACTTCTGAGAGGTCATGGTGGCTTGTGCACTTTTTTCGTACATTTTACTGCCCTTTTCAGAGAGCAAACCTCTTACAAGGAGGCACAACAGTGGGAAAGTTAAGGAGATTGAGGACTTAAGTAGCAGATTTCAAAGCTGTCTTTTATATGCTGTATTTCTCTCTGACAGGTACTCCGAGCTGAGAAATTTCTCACTTCAAATAAATCTAAGGCTTTTAATGGAAGACTGGTGTTATTTGCAGAATGTTTAGTGTTTCATCTAAATGTAATATTGTCACCTGGTAACCTAGGATTCATAAAAAATTGATACATGTGGCTTATTCTTCAGAGCTTGGAGTCAGTGTCTTTGAGCCTTGAAATTTGATATTTCAGTGCAATTGTGCTCATATCAGTGGTGATTTTTCTTTACAGTGTGAAAAGGTTGGCCTTTTTTCTGAAAAGTAGCTATTTTGTGTTAATTTTGTTCTTTTGGTTGCAATCTTCCCTGCATGTCTTGTCATGTTAAAGTGTTGTTTGAAAAAATGTACAGCATATTTCAGTCAGTTGTGAAATGGGTTTTGTTCATGTTTCCCTCAAATGGTTGTAAGATAAAATTAGGTCACAGCTGTGTTTTCACCTGCAGCAGAAACAGGACATTACTGGATTGTTGGCTGTTGTTAATTGAGGGGTAATATGACCAACAAGTGCTCAGAATGAGTACAATAATGGTAACAATTCCTTGCATTCAGATAATGTTTTTCTATCCAAAAGTGCTTTACATACAGGGGGGACCCGTTTCATCCAGCTGCCCCACTGCACATAGCTAATCCTGGTTTTGTCTTTTTCTACACAGCACAGTGTCAACATCCTAAAATGTCCAGTTCAGTATTGACCAGCCATCCAAGTGTTCATTTACCAGAGCTGGATAACCAAATGATGTTTCTCTTCCTGCAAAGGTTTTGATTTTTAAAAGTTTTGTTTTGAAAAGATTGCAATCAAAAGCACACACGTGCTTTATATGACAGGAAACCATACAGTATATACTGTGTGTGACTGGTTCTTCAACTGCGATGTGCATATTTGCACTTGTAAATATTTTTATGCAATACACAATCCATGCTTAAATATGTGTCAAATGATAGAAAAATGTGAGAATGGCTTTTCTGACTAATCCCGTCGCATCCATAGGAAACATCTTAGTGCTTCAGGTGAGGAAGAGTGTTCCAAGCAGTGTTTTGCATGCACTTGATTTTTTTATGATAAGCTACCTTATTCTCTCCCACATGGTGCCTTAACACCATTGCTTCTCACATGTGTCTTCCAGTCTGTGTACACAGCATGACCTAGGTCCTTCTTAAGGAAAGCCAGATCTGTTGTTTCATCATAGCATTCAAAAGATACCTTGACATATGCATAAATATCTTTAGCCGCCTTGTCATTACAAGTTTCTTCCTTACTGGAGAAATTGCATCAGTATCTACTTAAGGAATCTGTGAATGGGAAAAGAAGTGCTTACTCAGACTACACACCTGTTACTTTCAACATTACGATGACACTGACAAATAGAGTGGTTTTGTGCACATTGCTTAGTTCTTAAACCATTCTGTACATCTTGCTAACCTGTGAAGTGCACTGATATAATTTAAGATGGCACTCCTTGTAGTCTTAGATAAGTGTGAAATATTCTGAATAAATAAAACTACTAATCCATTGTAATTTATTGATTGATTTGAGTGAATTTTCTCCTGTATTCCTAATGATTTTCTTTCATCCTTGATTCCCTGGGCTACACCCTCTATAAATACCAACCACAATGTTCTTGTGTAGTAATTTGGATGGTTGTTATTCTGGACTATCTGTAACGTCTGAGGCTTGGTGTGGTTGTCCTTGTTCAATATGCATTCCTGACTTCATCGGCGATCAGAACAGAGATGTGAAATTAAGCGGCCGATGGCGACATACCGCTGCATAAAACTATTCTCGTGCTGTCCTCTAGCGGTAAAGCCAATATTGTACAGACCCTGCCTATCGCTTCATTTTGAAGGCGCTAATAAACATTAACAAAAAATGTCTTCTTTAACACTATTTTACTACTCAGGAATATTTTATCTTAAACGTATGTTAAAAAATACGATTATAAAAAAAAACAAATTTACCCAACGGGACAATAAAGCTTTGAATTAAATTGCAGAAAGCAATTGTTAAAAATCTATACAGGTGATGCATTTCAGCAAAGGTTGGGTAGGGCTTATCACAGGAGTAAGATGTTTTCGTTCCTAAGACTGTATTTTCTTGAAATAGTTTGTACAATACGATGCATGCATATTATAGACAAAAGTGCAGGATCTATGTCCCGGTTGTTGAGAATTTCGCACAACATTGATTATCCATACGACCCGATGTTGAAAAATGTACCTCATTTTGTCGATCTAGAGAGGTGGGTGCAAAGGTGATCATTTTATTTTTTTAAAAGGTCTTCTTTCGGTATGGTAAAATACGTCACATCGCCCGGCATTTCTGCATCACAAGCACAAACTTTGCGAGCGGAAGGGGGCGCTGTGTCTCTTGCATCACCTAGTCAATACTGGAAAATGAATATGAACAAACCCTTCAAATGCGCTGAAATCAAATTTGAAAATACTGTAGCACGGCTTGTAACGTCTTAATTATAAATTTGGATTTAGATTCTTATTATTCTCCGTATTTCAAAGATCTCACATGTGCTTCGGGGATAAATTTAAACCTGACACAGTTTACTGATGATATGGACAGACGTGTTCCAGAGATGAAAACCTCACTAATGAAGCCATGTACGGTGCTTAAGATTCATCATTTAAGAAATAAGCAAACGTTAATAGTGAAAAAATATTTATTGCACAAAAGAACAGTTCTGGAATGGATTATAAAATCGAACACTTTATACATTGAAAATGAGTACATCTTTACAAGTGTGAAACCAGTTCACAATAAACACATACTGTTTTTTGGTTAAAATGCCTCTAAGATATGCCCCTTCCTATACATGAAGACATTGTAAATGACCTTTACTCCAATATACAATATTAAAAAAAATCTTATATGGTTATTTCTCATTATATTGTATCTTCTATCAATTTCACATGGATTTTTTTTTCTGTGAGAAGTTTACACATCATTTTGGGAAACACTGCTCTATATAAAGACTAGCTGGGGTATAAATAATGGCCATCTTTCTTTGTCAGACAGAGGTACTGTACGTGAATGGGGATTGAATAGTATTAAATTGATAAGTTACATGCTCATAAATTATTAGACAGGTAAGTTTTCAGAGGCAGTGGGTCGAAGGCAGGTGATGCAGTGCTCTGGATACCTAATTTTCATTAGTATTGTGATCTGAGAGCAGGGCCACTCTGCAGTCTACCACATGTTCGGTCTCTTAAGGCTTCCCTCTGTGGAAATCCGGAAGAATAGGAGAACAACATTTCTTATGTTCTTATGTCACCTGACTTTGGTTTAGGAAAAGTCCTATAAAAAACAGTCCAGAAAGCTAAGCCCTGTGATCTCCACCAGGAGATATAGGAAATATAAAAAAAAAAAAAAAAACTGATACTTCATGTTAAACATGATGCCATCACACCTGTGTTGGCTGTCTTGGCTGTGTTTGATATTGTTTAAATGAGACCGTTAAACTGCTATTGCTTCAATCTGATTTTAGGGTCGAAAAGCTTGTAAGTTTTTTTTTAAACTTCAGGCACAGGATTCTTTAGCACCGCTTATTTAACTTTTCCACGTTTGAGAATATTCATGTTAAACAAAAAAAACAAGCAAGACACTATCCAAATTATGTGATCTGAATTTAACATTTCTGAGAGGTTAATTGCAGAACAGGCTTCTTTGAATGCAGAGTGCCATTTCTTGGGGGAATATATTTACTTCTGATTGTGATCTATATCAGTTAGGAAGCTGCATCAATCACAGGACTTGCAAAACTGCAAGTTGGAAACTGCAGAAGAGCTACAGTACATCGAGCCAGGCCTTAGGAAAGCCTTTAGACTTCATATCCAGATGACTGCTGTGATAAAAGATGGGCTTTGGCAGAGATCAGTCAAGGCTTAAGCCATTAAAGTTTCAAATACTGTTCAGAGTTGTAGTTTCCTGTTCTTTTTTTCTTTCTGTGTGTAAAATTCAAACTGTATTTTTCATACACCTAAGCCTGTAACTCATGCGAGCATGAACAGACTTTTGCACCAAACTGTAGGTTTAGATTATGCAGTCTAGGTATTGTACTGCCCCTGTTCAGTCCAATATAAAGAAGGACATATAAAATGTGAGCCTAAAAAAATCTTGAATAGCTTCTCACCTACAGGTCCAGCCTCCATGATGTCAAGATACGGGGTAGAAAAAAAATTCCAGTGCATTTAAAAGCAGTTTCCATTGACGGAAGATGAATTCTGAAACAATCCACATATTTCAAAAGCAGTCACCTCAAAAAAGTATGTTAAGATTTGTTTGTACTTGGGGCAACTGTATATTTTCACACTGCCATCTGATTGTCGTAGACTCCTATAGAACACCCTATAAAATATAAAAACACTGCAGTCCTCTTAAATCTAATGCATAAATGATGACAAATGGGCTCTAATGAAAGCTCTCTGGTTTCAAATAAAAGGAAAATTCAAAAGTGATTTTTGCAGGGACACAATATTGTCGTGCTACAAGAGACAATTAAAAAAAATTAAGAAACAGTTGTTTGACCTCACAATTACAACGCACTATAAACGTTTTATAAAACTGTAATTTGCTCATTTTCCTGTTCAAATTGCCTAATTATCCCAGCTGGCCTCCTGTGGGTCTGTTTATTGTGGTTTATTTGACAAATCTGCATTTTTGGGCTGGTACCCAGAATTAATTAATTCTAATATCCAATGAAAACTTCACAGAGAATTTCATCATGCAAAGACCCATCACCAAGTAAATACTGGCAAGACCACACTGCCAGGAAAAGCATAACATCTTCTTCGTAATGCAAGAGACTAAACCTTCAGGTTTTAAAGCACAACTCTAAACCTCAAGAAACAGTTCAGACAAGAACACAACAAGGATGAACAATGGAAAATGTTTCTGAGCTCAGTCATTTCCAAACTCTTCATTTCCGACAACAGTATTCCAAGACAAGCTGTGAATTAGACATTCTTGTTTGGCTGCTGTAAAAGCTCTTTTTTAACTGCTAGAACCTTTAAACAGTCACTATACTACACTGGTTCTGGGATCAACTAATTGTTTGAAGTCAAATGTCAATAACATTATATGTAAAGCTAAGTGAAAAGATGTGACTCAACTAGAAAATGTAAAAATTTTAACACCAGAAAATTCATTTTTATAAAGTTTACATTCCAATTTGTATATTATTGTCTTCTGGGGACTAATTATCCTTTAAAAGTCTATATAGGGCTCTCATGTCAGGTACAGTATGTCCAGCCTTGCCTATCAGCCTCTCCTATCACATCTGTAGTTCATCCTAAAGCACTAATTCCTAAAGACGGATCACTACTAACTTATTCATCAAGTAATCAATTAAGCTAGTCATTTTAATTAAGGAAGCTCTAGTCCCCGAGGACTAGAACGTTTTGTTCCATCGATCTATAAATTAATTTAATAAATCACCAAGACCTGATCACAGAATTTTCAAGCCTTTAGAAATTGGTGATTTAATGGTTATAAAAACTACAGGATTGGGGCCCTTCAGGATCAGGCAGCTGCCTGGTCTATATTTTATTTGAAAACCTAGACTGTGGCCATTCCTACAACTAATGAAACTCTCTTTCTGTAGCTGTCTCACAGAAAAGAAATGAGAAAAGTCTTCGATAAGGTGAAAAATTCACAAATGTGCAGCTTTAAAATATCAGGATTACACATGAAAAGGAAAAGAGACCAGCTCTTTCAGTGAAAGTGTATCTTCTCAACGTCTTCCTCCCTGGCCTGAGAGGTCTAGGGTGCCTTTAAAGATGTAGGGCATTCCCTCGGGTCTAGAAGCTCCACATTATTTCTCTGTCCTTCACCGTCTCAGGAAGCTCCTACACTTCGGTCACAAGTCGCACTGCTGCCTTGTCTTCGAGAGGCTTGGGCTCCTGGGCGCTGCTGCTGGGCTTCCTGAGCTCCGGGCATGCGGGGCTGCTGGTGTGCTGGTTGTTGTTGTTCAGAATGTCCTCGTACCCTTCCTGCCCCATGGAGTTGAAGCGCTCCTCCACGCAGTGCGCGGTCAGTCGGGCCTCGGGGTCGTGATCCCAGCACTCCACGATGGTGGAGCACAGGAACTTCATCCCCTGGAAAAGACACCCCAGGGCAAGACAGGAGATCATGTCTAATCCCTCACCCACCCTTTTAACAACAGCCGCCAAGCACGGTGAATAAAGACGCCAGTGCTGTAGAAGTCCACAGTCGCCGTAAAATAAAAGCTTGATCTAAGATCATCCTGTAGCTTAAAAATACCCTAAAATTCTCCTTGACTTTGATGTTTTAAAAAAGTTTGACTTTACAGATTAATTCATGAAATGTTTTGATTTTGAACTGTAGCTGGTTGTTGTCCGTACTTTCTTAAAGCTTGAAACTAAAGAATTCTGAACACATTGAACATTTTTTCGAAACAAGAAGAACTTAAGACGCGATTTTGTTCCCCTAAAATTATTTTCTGAACCAATCCCTGCACGAGTCGTTTAGATGGAGAAAGTGGAATAAAGGAAGCATACAGAATGTCAAACGACAAAGACACCCCAGGACGTCTTATATACTAATAAATAGTCACAAAGAGGTCACCAGTGGAAACTATGTGGAAGAGCATTTACCACCGAGTGAAGGAGGCACTTCTCTACCTAAAAAGCTTGTAGCCATATGGAACAAAATACCCGACCATGTGGCTTTCTGAGATCCTGGGATCTCTTACAGTAGCTACTAACTAACCAAATGGGCTAGACGGACCGAAATTGCCTCCTCTCATTTGACACCTTTCCTGTGTTCTTGTTTAATGTCAACATTCAGAAGGCCAGCGCTCACGCAGTCGGTGGGACACTGCGCTGTCGGTACCTGGTGGACCAGCCAGCTGCTGGGGATGTCCGGCCGCCCTCTGTCCCGGAGAACCAGGTCCCTCATGCTCTCCACACAGGGCTGCTCGCACACCTTCGAGCCAAAGGGCGGCTCGTAGCCCTTCACATCTGGCAGGACAGAGAAACATGAACGGTCACGTCGGGCTTGTCTTCACGCAGTCAATATCTTGTAGAGAGTTACATTATCTTACAGAAAGATCTTTAGCATATATTTCATAAATATCATAGATTGTAGCTTTTGATTTTGTCAAAGGGTGTATAAATACTGCGGCACATAAAGAGCAAGAGCGTAAAATCAGAATTCAGGCTCTTACCGCCAATCACATCACACCTAGACGCCATTTCCCATAGGACCAGAGCCATGGAATACACGTCCATCTGTTTGAAGGACTCCAGGTCTTCCAGGTTGACCCGAGATTCGAGAACCTCTGGAGCCATGTAGCGTGCAGTGCCCACCTGACACAAACAAGCAAAGTCTCCAGGCAAGGGGTCTTGACTTCGGCAATGCAGTAACATTCTTGTGTGGAACCACGAAAGAATCACTGAGAATAATCAATGCTTTTCACACTATACCACATGAACAGTTTAGATTAGTAGTAATAATCTGGAGGGAAAAAAAACAATAATTTTATATCTCATGGCATCTATGACTATACAGTAACGAAAACATGCATACAATACCAAACATTGGTAGAAATCATACAGCATGTCCAAGTTCACTGTGATTAATTGTCATTTATAATACAGCTACACTAAGTGTTTTATGTGATTAAGCAAACAGCTCTCTTACCTGCCCACTGTTGGCAAAGTCATCCACTGTGAGAGAGAGGTCCAGCCTCAGAGCCAGCCCAAAATCACACAGGACACACTCTGTCTTGCTCTTCATCACAATGTTGGTGCTCTTGAGGTCTCTGTGAGCAATGGGGATTTTAGGGGCTCCACAGGCGGTGTAGTCGCTGTGGAGGTGGGCCACTCCTCTGACCACGGACCCCGCCACCGAGTGGAGCTCTCTCCACGTGAGGACATGGCTGGTCAGGTAGTCTTGCAGGTTCCCCAGGCTGTGGTAGGCTGTGATGAGCCAGTATTGCTTCTGTGGCCCTGTGCCTCTCTCCTCAGCTGTGAGAAACTGCAGCACGCTCTCATGCTTGAGGTTAATGTCCGAAAAGATCTTGCGCTCATTCTTCCAGGAAGAGTACTCCACAGAAGGGAAGATCTTGACAGCGACGGTCTCATACTGTCCAGAGGCGTTGTGGTTCAGCCTGGCTCTCCAGACGTCAGCGAACCGCCCCTTGCCCACCACAGTGTCAAGCTCGATGGGCAGCAGCTCGGTGTTATGGTTTATGTTGTTGGCACAAGTCGAGGAGACATCTGAGTGTCCATCGTCCATTATCGTCAAGGGTTTCCCATTGTAATCTGTGTTGTTCTTCGGAAGGTCCAAGGACTGGTAGTGGGTGCGTTTAGGAGGCCAGTCTTTGGGCTGTTTGTTCTGGTGGCGGGTACGATAAAGGTAAAAGGCCAGGGTGGAAATAATGGCAACCAAAACAGGTGGGAGCAAGCTGATCACAACCACAGGAATTACTTCTTTGCTCTGTAATTTTAAATATCCTGCAAAAGAAATACAGACACATATTTGGGGGGAGTTTTAGTAAAAGAACAATGCTTCTTTCTCTTTTTTGTACCAAAGTAAAAGTACACTACATACTCTACATGAGAATACAGTAAGTCACTTACTGTAGTACTGTCAAAAAAGAACAACTTTGATCTTTTTTAAAGTCCAGCAATTATTTCTATAAAAATGAAACAGAACAAAGTAACAAAATTTGCATTTAATGTTGTTGTCTTTACTATTCTTGTATGTTTTTGTATGATTCCTGTTACTCAAGCTCATGTTTTTCAACATTGCACAGCAGTTATGCTCAAAACTTGATTAGTGCAGCAATTTTTTAAGATGGCCTTAAACCTTAGAAATTATTGCATCATTGTGGTATTAAAACGACATTGTAACCCCCCCACCCAAGACAAAGTTCCAGACTGAGGCCCCGAAAATATTTCTTTTGTCCTCCATTCTTTTGTTGCTGAAAAATAATCATTACTATCGTTTCTTTTAGGGGACAAACTTAGTCGAGGCCTACTGTCATGAAAGACAGCAAGTGTAAAGTTTGTGTTCACATGGTTAATAATACAGAAATAAATATTTTGTTTTCCCCTGAAACTTTTTGTAGTTTATACTGTATAAGTACAGTATGGCGCTGCTGGAAAAGGCTTTTTTCTTTCAAAAACTTTTGAGCCAAGGGAGTTGCACATCACTTTACCATTGGAGTGCTTGTCAAACACCAGCATGTCGTTACACTCGTGATCCTCCACACAGCCACAGATGTACACAGTTCCCTCATCAGAAGACTGCTGCACCATCACGCACTGTGTGGTGGAGTAATTGGACACCATGATGTTCTCCAGGGTTTCCTGTGGGTGGTGGCACAGGGTTCGAACGCTGACACTCTCATTGTCCTGCTTCCTGAAACACACGCAGACAGGTTACACCTCAGCTCACAGGGGCTCAAGCCAACATCAGCAGCACATCCCAGCTTTGAGACTGGAGTTTCTTCATTACTGTAGCGTCCACTTCGGCTGGGTTAGGTGGAGGGCACTCCTGACCCATGACCACTAAGATTCTGTGGGCATGCCATGCAGGATGTGTTTGGCTTTTCAGACTGCAGATTAGATGCAGACGGTCTGGTCACAAAGCATTCTGGGAATTATTGCAAAAACATCATTTTTAAATAATTGCCCATGCTTTTCACATCTTATGTAGTTTTCTCCACCTGTGTTTCATACTTTGTGTTTCAGTGACTCTAGGTGGGAAGTCATTGTTTTCTATGTGAGTGTGGAGCCATGGTCTGGTGTCTTGTTCTGATTATCAGCTCTGGAGCTGTTGCCAGCCCTAGGCAGTGCTTTGTAAGTATCACATTGCTATTATTAGTGGTAATAGTACCAATTTGTGCATTTCAATTTTTCAAGCTGAACAGTTCTTTCAAAGTGATGGTATTTAATAAAAGCATAATCTAAAATCAGCGTTTGAAAACAGATTGATGTAATTGACTATGCTTTGGCAACCCTGGAACAAGAACATATTGGTTTACCCCCAAACATCCCATAGCCACAAATTCCTTTATATGAAAAGAAAAGTAAGTCATAATTCAGCAGGGTAGGGATTTATTGAAGAATTTTCTTGGTGTTTTTAAATATTTCCAGAAAAATTCAGATCAATGAAGCAATTATGGTGTTTAAATAGAATTCTAATCCACCTTTCGTACCTGATTTTGTGCTGCTTTTCATGAAAGAGAGAAATCTATTCCCGGCATTCCAGACTGAAACTGCTGCTGTGATAGTTTCTATTTTTTTATTAAGTGTGGGATGGGAGTTTCTTGTTACATCTGCCAAGTTTCCATTTGCTTTTCTCAGCAACCTTTTACTGAAGCCAGCTGGCTCATCCCCCATAACCAGAGTCACTTTTGAAAAAGTAATTCAGTGTTCAAGTTTATTAACCCCGTGTCTTTTCTGAAGAAGGCGGAAGGGAACGAGGGCAAGTGCATAACTCAATTTTTGAAAACATTCATTTTATATCACATACTGTAGGCTTTATACTAGATAACACATAAAAACCCATTATTGGGATAGCTACAGTCTTTTAACAAGTTAACCTGAACACATTAATGCACAATAAGGTGTATTCAAGCTTGCATGAAGTACGAGTTTTGCACAGCAAATATGTTTACAGTAAGTATTCCTTTAAAAGTTGTTGTAATCTTAGTAATTAAAATGAAATTGGCCCAAATACCTACTTATTTTGCCAAAGTATTTCGTAGGTTCTCAGTAATAACGATATTCTTTTTCCATTAGACATGTTTTTTGAGACCTCAACCCCGGCACGTACCACACAGCCACACAGATCTCTTCAGACATGGCACAGAAGGAGCTGAAGTTGCAGTTGCTGGTGCAGACATTGTTTTCACAGCGGGGGCTTGAAGAGTCACACCACTTGCAGAAGTTGGTCTTAATGTTTGTAAAGGCGAGAGAGTGGACATCTGAAAAATAAATTAAGCACAACAGAAACACCTTTTTTAGGCTTTGGAACCAAAAGCTTTGCATTTATCTTGTTGCCCGAGCTTGACAATTCATACAGCAGTTGCGTGATTTAGACGGTTTGTTCTTTTGTGTGGGTTATCATCTGCCATAGTCCTGGGACACTGCTGAATCATCATGGCCATAGGAACACAAGAACACAAGAGCGTATGAGTATAAGAGCATAAAGACTGGTTATAGGTGCCATTCAACTCGTCTGTCCCATTTGGTTGTAAGTAGTTAACGGATCCAACCGTTTCTGTAAGGAGGACAAGATATTGGCCTCATGGCTTCAGGGTTTTGGATTCTATACTGCTCATTTTCTTCCCCCATATTTACTTTTCCCCTCTCCTTAATTTCCATGTAATAAAATGAGCCAGTCACAATGTACAGTACATTGAACACATTCTCATTGGGATTCCTTAGTGCTCTCCTTTCAAACTGCACCAGTATTTGGATACTCAAAAACGCTAGATTCAAGTATTCTCAAGTAAGGACCTTTATACAGTACATGGCACTGTGCTATGCTTGTATCAGCACATGGTCGAGGGTTTCTAAACATTTTTTATGTGATGAGTCTAAAACGGACAGTCCAGATCCAAGGTGCAAGGTACTGTACTAATGCTGTATCCCTGGGCAAGAAACTTTACAAACTTTACAGCAAACCCAGCTGTATAATCTCTATGTAAAATAGGTCATTTTAACCACTCTAAGCAGCATAAAAGCATCAACCACATTAATGAATACTAGTAATCGAGGTGAGATATTAAACATCAAAGCCTGGCTCTAAATTTAAAACTATAAATCTCAATATTCTGCAACTGAAAGAGAATAACATCCAGTTACATTTTGTTTCCGGTGTGTCTGACAAAATGTGCTGTATTTGTTTATTTTAAGCAGCTGTTATCCTTTTCTTATCTTAGTTCATGCATGAAGGTTCTACAGACAGGAGACTTCTAAGAAAATTCATTTACAATTTAATCTCACAGTATTTACTTTTAAATCCTGCACTCATGTTGTGTGTGCAGGCATGATGTCTTATGTTATCTCAGACAAAGTAAGTTTGGGATTCTGTCTAAACATCACAGGTTAAGCATGTTAAGCAGCCACTAAAAGGTATTTCTGGTTTCAATCGAACTGTGTTTCTTTAACTGAGCAACATGCTGGGTTATTTTGGAGATTCCCACTGTTCCTTGTAGCATTTGCTTCTGTAAAGCATCATACAAACTGTGTTGAAAAGGCATTGGATCTTTCAGATACACAAAAAAACAGCACTAACAGTGAAATGAAGGGTTTGCATGTTGCATAATTGACTGTGTAGGAAAATAAATTACTTTTGTATGTGCTTTTCTACCTGGAACACTCACACGTAACATGAAAGAGTGAGAATCGCATGAAGAGAACGTATCTTAATGATGTTGACATCCATAATGTGAAAAGTGAAAGAGAGAAAGATGAGAAAAAAACTCAGTATATCCGCTTTTCTATTCTTTTGCTTCAGACGCTGTTTTCAATCAAAGCCTCAAGTTCCAGCTGATGTTCTGCAACAGTGATCGATTCATCAAAGCTCCAGTTTTGCGAGTTTGGTCTAATTTAACTGATTTTCCAGGTAGAGGGTGTAAAATGACAAATTCTGTTCCTCCGGACTTCATCCTTTCTTCCATTTTTTTGTAAATCAGAGTTAATTATAATGCAGCCCTCCCTGTGCCCTCTAAACTGGAGAATCAGGCTTTTATCAACTGCTTCAGAAATGTGGGGAGTTTGTGGCTTGACAAGGGGACAATGGCTTTTTTATTTATAAATCTGCAGTGAAGACATGCAGGGTATCAGCTTTCCAAACATCTTGCGCTTGTAATCCCAGGAGCCCGAAACCACAGATTGACTGCCACATCACAATAGATTAATTGTTAATTATATCCAGATGAGCCCTTTTCATAAGAAAACTACAATGATCTAATAAAGCTACACAAACATTAAAAGAAACAGTACACATCTTTAAAAAGCATTCCAGATGTTACCCAACGCAAAACATCAAAACATAAACTTCAAAAAAAAGAGAAAAGAAAAGGCTGGATAAGCAAAAACAGAAAGCAAACTTGAAACTAATTAAAATCAGCAGTTACTGCTCCAGAAATAAATTAAATCCATAAGTACAGGCTCAAGCCAAGTCTGAAGAACAGTTCCTCAGTGCACTGCTGGGAAATGTGACTAAAGTTTGCTTACAAGGGTGTTGCAGAAATTAAAATGCATTTTCTTTTTGGTGTTTTACAAACAGGTTTACTCATAGAAAATATAGCAGTTGATAGGAATAACCAAAAGGTGGAACAGTGGCATTCAGCTAACTTATAAAAAAACAGAAATACAGACCATAAACAATGAAACCATAAAAAGTTATAGTTTTCATAAAAATAAGTTATATAAACCATGACACTCTAGGGTTCACAAATAACAATAATCATTTGCAAAACTCCAGATCAAAATACAGTATCTGTCCTCATTTACTTTTGTTTTTATTGACTAATCGTACAGTTCATGTAAAAGTTATTCAGATTCTAAGGGGGTGACAGTCATAAAATGCCCTCTCATTTATTTGTAGGAATAAGATTATTTCACCTCACAAGTAACATTTTCCTGTCACACCGTATTAACTATTTATAATGATGAATCAGATATTAGTGCACTTTGGCACTGAGTGATATGGAATATACATTGTCCTTATGCCTGCTATTGCCTTTTCTATTAAACTTTCTTGTTAGGCCAGATCCTCATTTTCTTGTTATTCTGAGACTGAAATATGTTGCTTCTAGAAGATCTGATGTATTTTTGTTGCTGCCCTCTCTGACCTTTGTTTTATTCGCATCTAGAACAGAACCCCCCACCTTTGTGGTTTGCACTGTTGCTGCAACAGTACAAAGTATGCGGTTTTAAACAATATATTTTAAAATTATTTTCACGTATTTGTTTTCAATTGTTTTAATACGTCTATATATTTTGTCTGTTCAGCGCGAATTGCTTTATACGGAGGAACGCTTTGTCAAGGCTGTTTTTCATTGAAGGTATATATAAAATTAAGTTTGCACTTGGGGCTTTTAACAGAGAGAAGCACAAAGACCAAAGTCAGACACCAGGTGGCATACGAACTATTCAAAATCCCACATCAATAACGGTACCACCAGGACAACACGCTTACAGCCGACATACAAAGATCATTTATAAAAAGAAAGATTCAATAAAAACGTTTTAGGAATTCGCGTGCATTTCTCCTGACACTGTCCACCTGTCTCCCTACCCGTTTGATCATAAATGGTCAAAGTCTGAACATATCCAGTTTCACACACACACACAGTACCCACGTAATTTGTACACGATATGTAAATATATCGTTTGTCCATTTTCTCTCAACGTGAAGCAGAACTCCCCATTCCAGCCAGGCTCCGTGAAGAAATGCAAATGTCGTTTACCGAAAATATTTATCATCAGGACACTCGAATACGCGAGGTGTGAAAGTGTAGTACAACAGTGAATATCGTTAATACAGCGATTTGGTTATTTACCAAATCTTATTTTGAATGCAATGGGGTGCATCGCAGTGTAGCTACATCGAAACCTGGCAATGGTAATACAAATTCGCCACAGAAAATCACCGTCGATTGATTTAAATATTTTAGGCAGCGTATTATAAACACTATCTCACCATAGGGAATTCCTGGGGTCATATTAAAACTGTTTTCCAGATCCTCCAAACTGATTTTTTCTGGAGTGCTTTTTTAGTCACAGTATCAATAGCCTAGTTTCTGTATGGGGTTTCACTCTGTTTTTTCCAAGACATAATCCTTTTCACCTTAAATTCCCTTCTTAAACTACTTGCGATTCCAGTATGTAATGTATGTAAGATTCGGCATATCTGCAGTGCTGCCAAAATCTGTGTACATGTACGAAACTGAACTGAAAACGGAGGTTTTACAGCAAACCTTGCGGACTTAATGGTCAGTCCGCACCGCTCAGGTCCTTTCTATCGGTGTTTACGAGCAACATGTGGAAAGCGGTAGAAAAGAGCTATCAAAAGCTGCTGTGATCATGATTCAGTTTGGGAGCAGTCTCAGTCCCTAAGATACAAAACACTCCTTTTAACTGACAGTAATTAAGATTCTTTACAATTCCAATGTTACTCCAAGCACCGCTTTCGGTGAATTTCACAATTTTAAGGAAAACGTTGAAGTGTTTAGACTTCACACAGATAACGCCTGCAAACAATAAGACGGGACCACACCTTAAAGGCTGAATTCGTGTAATTGGTGCGAGTCTGCTTTGCTCAAACTAAAGACGGTTTATCTAAAAATGTTTTAAAATGAAGGATTGTCTTCTGTTGAAACATCAACATGCATTCAAGACTATGAATAAATGTCCATCGAACGTAAAAACGTATTAGTAAATGAACTTTCTGTAAGATAATGTATGGATACGTAAGGGCCTAATTGTAATTATAAGCAGAGTGGTATTTAAACCTTTTTGTTTATTTCTAAGTCAATTAAGGTAGTTAACTTAATATTAAATATATTTTCAGTGTGCATACGGTACTGATCTTAACTGCGTGAGAACGTTCTTAAATGTTTTGTAAACCAATAATGCGGGCTGTAATAATGGTGGGTTAGAATTTAATGTTGCCTACAGCTCGTCATCAGCACCTCGGAAGAGCAATGCCTTGTTGTAACACGCAGAACCCATTTAGAAGGTCCAGTTGGTACTGTATATCATATTCATAATGCAGAATACTTTGCGCGTCAGAGGTGATTTGAACGATAAGATCACCTTTTAAAAAATCTGACATTATGTTCAACCTACTTCTATACGGATGAACTATTCGTATAGGAGCAATACATTTCCCTTAACATTTGTACTGTTCATCGATGTGCGAGAAAAAAAAAAACCCCATTGTCGTGGAAAACAGCTCGACTCATCGGCGACTTGAAATGAGCTGTCTGAAATAAATCAAAAGTGAATAAAGTATTCAATAAAATAAAAAAGACACGAAGTTCCCATAAAGTAGGCATGGATGTTCAAAGTATAGTATTGGGATACCCTGCTCTCTGACCGCATCCCTTCGTACAATGAAACCCTTGAAATAGAAACCAACTTTGGATTAGTTGAATCAGCACTTTAAGTTTTCATTCTTTGATCACAGGATGAAAAGAAATTCACCGTGCAACGGAAACAACTGAAGTGTTTTTTTTTTCTTAGCGTGCAGAGAAAAATAAAAGCTCTCATATACTTACAACAAGAAACGATAAGTGCAGATGTTGCAGCCGAGAAAGTCCAGCACCCCATTATCTTGGTAATAATTAGCAGCTTAAAACGTCCAGAGCCGTCGGACCGCTGTGTCCCCGCCTGCGAGTCCTAAATAATGATAACTGAGCATTTATTCCAGCTCGATTCGCAGGACGCTTGGAGTTTGGGAGTTTGGGGGTTTGGGCTGACGCTGAGAGTAGGCGGTTTCAGTTACACTCGTGTGAGGAGGTCCGCCCAGGAGCTCAAGTACAGTACATCATCATCATCATCATCATCATCATCACAAGCCTGAGATCGTTCTGTAAAGCCGACGAGTGGAAGGTGGAGTTTTAGTGGGAACAATCCCAAACTACTCCACTGTATCCTTTTAAGACATTGTAGTCCAGCTAGTAGTTTCTGGGGTCGAATGACGCACAACCTTTCCACCTTTTTTTATTTTTAAAGGCATAGCCTCCACGTCACTGAACACTGTATTTGTCCGAATATATAGTGCGTATGTACAGTAATACACTATCGTTTCCACAACTCACAGCACCGTAACATAGGTCCATTCACTTTGCAAGGAATCAATAAGCGGATCTTCTTGAAATACACAGAGAAAGTCAAGAAAGCAAGCTCCCCAACTATAATAATTGATCATTTTCAATTAAACAGCTGTAAAATCAGCAGGCCGTGGGGAACAGAGCGGGACAGCGAAAGGGTCGCTTATCATTCGCCTTGTTTTCGTGACTGCTCGTCTAGGGAGACGGGTTTGAGAAAATGGGCGCTTTTTTTCTTTCTAGCTGTATTAGGCACTCTTTAATCGTTCTGACTCCTACTGTATTGTACTTCTCCGGCCCCCGAAACTCTGAAGGAGAGCAACAAGTCTC